AGAAACTGAGAAACTTAAAGCAGTTTTTATTGGAAAAAGTAAAAATCCACACATCTTAAAAAATATTATAAAATTATTTCTTTCAGTATATTATTAATAGAATAAAATAGCCTATATGTAAGTTAGTATTTAAAATAATTGGTTAAAAATTTTGATATACACTTACAATTTCAAAATTAAGATATAATTTTACTTTATGATAGTGCATTTACTTTAAAGATGATGCTTTAATTAATTGTAACAGGTGATAAATAAACATCACAATATTGCAACGCTATCTTTAATTTACTCATATTTTATATGAACATACTACTTTTACTAATATTTAGCTTCATAAATTGCCTTCTAATATAATAGTACATCTTCAACTATGTGATGTTAGGATTATCAGAAGTTTTAAGGTAATTAAATATTAATATTTTTATATAAAAAAAAAATTAATTATTAAAATTGATTAAAATTAATATATATTAGTATATCTATTATATAGGCGTAATATCAAAATTATTTTTGAAAATTATATTAAAGAATTTGATTATAGTTAAAAAATTGGTAAACCCATTTCTGAAATTACTATTAAAAAGGTAATCAAATATATAGCAAAATTATAGGATTTAGTTCAACCAGAAACAATTGTAAATTGTTAAAAAAAAATAGATATTCTTCTATTTAATAATAAAAATATTGATAATAGAGATTCTCTTATCCAGTGTTGGCAAATGACTTTAAAGTGATTGTGCTCTTAAAATGATCTAATTATGTGATGATTTTACTATAAAATCTATCACGTGATAATGTATAAAGTGATCTAGATCACTTCAAAAAAAAGGAAATAACCTTAAAATTTGTTAACACTGCTCTTACCAGTGATATTAATGATATTGATAAAATACAAGATTTTATTGACCAATTAACTCCTAATATTTATAAAGATTTGATTTCTACAGAAGAATATTTTTAATATAAAAAAGAAGAAAGAGCTCATTAAATAATAACTGATGAAGAAGTTTTAAAATATTTAAGAGAATTAGAAAAAGATATTGAAGAAGAAGTTGAAGTTTATACTATTAGTAATTATGAAGCATTATCAGCATTTGTAAAAGTAATTATATACAGTATATTAAACAAAAAGCTAAAAAAATTCAATTTCAAAAAGAACAAATTCGCGTGATAAAAAAGTTGCAAAAAGTTGTAGAATAAGAAGAATTTCTTTTTAAGCAATAAGTTATATTAAATTCTTTGTAAGAACTATTCTGATAGATAAGTAAAATGAATAGGAATTTATAAAGTTCATAGCAAAAAAATTTTTTCTTTTTTTACCAATTTATCTAAATATATAATAAATATAATAATAAATATTGTAAATAATATATCGAATTTATATATGATATTCAATATAATCATACAAATGAATAAACTTAAAAATTTAATGTAATATTACCAAATTCTTTTATTATAACAAAATTTTATCTCTAAAAATAGAAATTCGTTATAAAGCATTTTGACTGTATATATTTTAAGTCTTAAATTTTCAAGTTTTATTTACTTTCTTTAAAGCATAGATCTTTAGATCTTTTTTATTAAATGTAAAGAAAATAAATGATATATTGAAAAAAACTATATATTGATAAATTAGTTTTAAAAATATTATTACATTTTTTTTTATTACTTTAAATCAATTAAAATCAAATATTACATAATATAAAAGATCAATATTTGATTTTATTACTTCGTTATAAAATGAATATTCAATTTATTAAGATTATTATACAGATTAATTTAATTTATTAGTTTGATTAATTACATAAATAACTTTAAATATCTATTAGATTATAAAAATCATATCTTATTAAATTTAAGATCATAATAGTCTTATAATTTTACATTTCAAATAATTAGCATAAAGATTTTTTATGATATTTGATTAATAAGTAATAAAAAAATAAATACAATTATAGAACTAGTTTGATAAGCTTTATTTTATAATTGTAAATTTAAGTTTATTGTCTAAACTATTACACGTAAAATATTATTTTATTTTATTTGTATAATTTATCATATAATTTATAATTCTCATATTTTTATTATAAATAGAGTATAATAAGTTCTATGGCTTACTAAATATAAAATATAAAATATTATAATACAGATTAATAATTAATTTTGAATTAGATTTAATTTAAAAGTAATAGACTTAAAATTAAAGGCTTAAGATTTTTCTGATATTATCATAGCTTTTGACAATTACTATGATTCATGTTTAATTTTTTTATATTTTTTGTATAAATTAAAATGAATCTTATTTATCAAAATACAGTTAATTTAGCATGCTAATCTAGATATATGAAAGTTAATATTTTATTAAACTTGATTATATTATTTTTTTATATTATTGTAAATCAATTTAAATTAGATAATAATTGATATAAATTAATCTTATAAAAAAATATCACATGATAAAGCATGAGCAAATAAAATCTTCAATAAAAAGAATAATAAAAAATTTTTTAGAATAATAAAGTTTTAATAAATAACTTTTAAAATTTTTTTATTCTTAGATGTCTTTGATTAAGAAATTATATATTAAAAAAATTAAAATATAAAAAGTATTTTTCTTTTCTATTAATCTGAATTTAAATACAAATTGAAATGCTAAAAAATTAGAAAATTAACTTTTCTTCATATTAATTTAACTTGATTTTTATTTTTAACTTTTTTAATTAAAATACATTATCTTTATTGTAAATTTTTAACAAACATTTTTTTATTAGTAATAAAATTTGTTAATATAGTAAAAATTTTATAATCTTAATTTAATGGTTACTTAAATTTAATCTTATATTATAATCGTAAAATTTTATTCAAATTGAAATATGCATTGCAGATTTCAAATAATATATATAGTATTTAGATCAATAATACATATAAAATACTATGTAATTTTTATATAAGTTCTTTTAAAAAAAGTTAATTATATAATAAAAGATTGCATTATTATTCTTTTTGCTAAGAATTATATAATATTATAAATAATAAAACTATATACTATATTTTCTGAAAATAAGTAATATGTTATTAATTAGCATTTATGTGACAAATAATATAATAAAAACATATAATTAATAAAAATTACCATAAAAAGAATATATTATATATTATTTATTTTTAGAAGTATACAATAATTATTTCAATTTTAGATTATTATTTATATTTAATAAAATAGAATTTAGTTTTATATATATCTTTTATATTTTTTTCATTATTATGAACTAACTTACATAATAAATATAATATTTCATCAATAATTTTATAATAATTGAAATTTTAGAAAACTTTAATATTTTATTATAAAAATAGAATTGATTATTAGTTGCATTATATTGAGATACAGTTAATATATTTGTTAATATACTTAGCTTTAAAGAATTCATTTGCATTTCTAATATATCAGGCTTATTAATTCTCAAAATCTCATATTCATTCCAATTTGAAATGAAGTATTTATAATCTATAGAATTTTTTTTTTATTTGTATTAGTAATTTTTTAAAGAAATTATTTATAATATTATGAATCTAAATTTTAGCTAAACTTAAAATTACACTTATATTATAACTAACTATTTGGATTTTATTTATTCTTTATCATCAAATAATATATAGATTTTTTTAATTCTGAAGTTATTTTACATAAATTTATATCAGTAATGTAAGAAAAAAGGACTTGATTTCATTATACATTAATATCCTTGCTAATTTGTTATTAATATTATTTTTGTACTTAACATTTCTAATTTAATTCTCATATATTTTATAATAATAATATCAGCATAAAATCTTCTTACTAATTTGTTATTAATATCATTTTGTACCTAACATTTCTAATTTAATTTTCATATGTTTTATAATAACAATATGAGTATAAAATCTTCTTATACCTAAATTTTATTGCTATTTTAAATAGACCAACTATATTTTATATTATTTCATTAGATCCTATCAAAATTACTTTTAAGAATTTGTATATCAAATACCTTATTAATTTGTCATTTTTTTCAAATACAGTATATATCTATAAACAATAAAATTACATTTTAAAATAATCTTCTACATAAGGGACAGCTTGTTGAATTTGAACTTCGGAACCACTATATAATGTGATGTGAATTTAATATTAAATTATCTCAACAAAATTTAAAGATTGTAATGATTGATAATAAATAACTTACCTTGTAAAGACAAGCAGCATGAAACTTATTCTTACAAGTACTACATTGTTTAGTTGGCAGAGACCTATCATCAAGACTTACAACAGAATAACAAATTGGACAATCTTCAATTCCACGAAATCGAAGGTTTATATTATTTTTAAATAAGTTCAACGCAACCTCCAAATTACCATTCTAGTTAAGGAAAATATTTTAAAAAAAAAAAATCGTTTAGGGAGATTAAAAAATTATCATTATTTAATGAATGATTAGCTACCTGGGAATTTACAACGGTTTGAACAGGCAATTTTGCCCATTTAAGGTCCGCAACTTCTCTTGTACCCATTCTTTCCAAGGTACTAAATTCTGCTTGACGTAATGGGAAATTATTTGACATTCTAATACTAAGTTCCATCACGTATTCGTCAACCATAAATGAAGCGATTACTTCGTTGGAACTACGAGCGATTCTTATTGAGAATTTTTCATCCTCTAATTGCGACTTGACATCTTCGCTTTGAAGCATCTCAAGTTGATTTTGGATTATAACTGGACTGAAATATTTCTCAGTATAGCTAATATGTTAGAATATAAGTGAATATAATCATTAAATATTTTGATTAAGCTTGCAGAGAATTCTTTGCATTAATTATTTTCATTACCTATCAACAGCAATACTTAGTTGTCGTTTTTTGCATTCTGACCACCATATTCTATTATAAGAGAAATTTGTTTAAATAACATATAAAATTTAGGATTGGAACCCCTTATAGCAACAATAACATACCTAACAATTGATGGTACATGCTTTAATGAACGATAATACAAATGTGCGCTAAGCAAAGGAAGCCCCAAATCAAAACTATGCTGAACTTCAAACCCTAAAAATTATTATTTTTTTTTTTTTGATTTGTAAAAAAATTATAACTCGTAAGCAATTTAATCAAATAAGAAATAAACTTAAAATTAAGTTACCCTCGATATAAAATTCAGATATATCCCAATTTAACAAGTCGTATGGCTTATTAGATCGAGACAATCCTAACGTATCGAATATATACGTAAATAGACTCGACGTTATATCTGGTTCTTTAAGACATGATATAAGTTGTGACTTGACCTTAAATGACTAGATTTGCAACGAAAGAAAACTTTAAGATGGTGGAATTAAGTTAAATTAAGATGAATAATTTAACATTATTTACCGCGAGTTCAAAGTGATCAAGAACTAGCATCCAACCAAGCAAATTTCCGAATACTTTATGCGCAATCTAAAAAAGCAAGTAGCAAAATGAGAATTAATTCTTAAAAATATATATATTTGATTTGTAAAGAGAAAAAAAGTATGCATATTTACAAAGATATCTGTACTTGCAGGGTAAATATCATTCAAATGATCAATTTTCTGGGTTTGCATAATCAAAGATATCAACCCTTTATCGTATTGTATATTTATTTCGTCTAATATTTTTTTGAATATTGTTAAAATATGATAAACAAGGATACATCAATAATAATTCAAAATTTATTGATATAATATAATATACCTGAATTTTCCGTTAATTCTAATTCTTCAGATAATCTCATTGTCTTTTGCACGATTATAGAATGAAGATGTTTATAAGAACATTTTTGGATTCCATCATGAGGAACCATTAACAATGAATAAAGCTAAAATAAATAAATAATTATAACATATGATATATTATTTAATTGTAAATACCATAAAATATAGAATTAATAACTATACCTCGTCCCTTTCATTAATTAAAAGCGATTTAGATAAATCTTGACATGCTTCACATAAAATTTCTAAATAATTACTATACTGCTCCGAAAAAGTTTCTTCCTGATGGTCTTTATAAGCATTTATTCATTAATTAAACTTCAATCAAATAACCAACTTTAAATGATAAAAATTTACCCTTTTCTTGAAATAATAAAGGAGATAATGTTTCATATAATGTCGTTTTAAACTCGGAGAAAGATTTGTATAAACCTTCCTTTGATGTGTCATCAGACTCGACCTTCACTCAATAATTTTCAACCAAAAATTGATTTTAAAAACTCTTTTTTTTTTGAAGAAAAAATAATTACAGAATACAAATATACTTTATACTTAAAGCTACCTTGTTGGATTTATTTTCATACTGAAGATTAAAATAAATCAAGCGACAAAATAAATATATAGCTTCATACCGAAGTTCTAAATTACGATTTTTCTATATTCAATAATGTTTGTTAGATTATTCCATGTAAACGAGAAATAATAATAATAATTTTAAAAAACTCAATATTACTTCAAACCAATTCTGAAGACATTGAAAAATAAATATCCAATGCGTTCCTTGAGAATCGTGTATTGGTGAAATAATGGAAATAAAAAGACGTGAAACTTGAATTTGAATATGGGTATATTCAGGATCAAATAATAATTTAGAATCCGTTTCCTCGTGCCATTTGATTATACACTTCACTAAATCTAAAGAACGTTTTGGAGTTAGGAAATATTCATCATCCCTCTTTGTTGTAATCGTCAAAAGACGTAAATATTCCAGTCCTTAAGTAGAAAAAAATAATATTCAGAATCCAAGATATTAACAATTGAATGCATAGTTAACAAAATAATACCTTTATTGGCAGACGAATCGTCCGTGTTACAAATATCAGTTGCGCTTAGATCGCACAACTTACTAAGCAGATCATTCTGAAAAGTTTTGAACTTTTTGGAAGTTTCAAGGAATGGTCTTAATGACGAAATTAATGCCACTTTAGTGACGAGGTTACCTAATACGTTATAAGTTTAGTATTATAAAATAATATAATCAAAGCAAAATATTTATTAACTCACAATCAGATGATTCCAATTGAAATATTTCAAGAAATTCTTCTGCGTCAACAACCAATACATCTAATACTTCCAAAATCGTCGAAAATAAAATTTGTAAAGTTCTCGCCCAGTAATGTGAATAATTTCCATGTGAACGCTTCAAAGTATCAACAAGCATACTAGATAAATCAATTATTGGACATTGTTTAGAACTATATCCGAACTTCATCTTTTCTGCAAGTGATTTCAAACCAATAGATGTATTTTGCATCGTAGATTTCACGTAATGTTTTAATATCGTAGGGTAATCTGCAAGAAATGCTTTAAATCCATGGTAATCGCTCTCTTCGGTTACAGTTGCATCCCAAAGATGATGTCTTCTCTTACGTGAACGATGAATATCATTACACAAAACATGCATCAATAATAATTCTGAAAGTACCCAATGGGACGAATGTTTCTCTTGTGCATCGAAAGGCACACCCTTGGAATCGTTAATATCAAAGAACGTCAAAACACCAATCTTATTGATTAATTCTATCGCAAAAATTCCTAACCGTGCATAAGCACTTAATCCATATATATCATAAGCGATAGATTGCGTAGATTGCGTCTCAAAATGATTTTTAACTTGCATCTCACCATTACAAGTAATAGGTATCATTGGATCAACAATAACGAGGGATGGATCAATAGGGGAGGTTAACAAAGGCTCACTAAGCTGACGCCATTCTTGTTCACTAAGGAGAAAAGGTGCAATGACTTCAGGAGATGTTGCACGTTCAGCTTGATAAAGACTTGTGCATAATTTCATAACACGTTGCGCGAAATCTGTAGGACTAAAAAGCAGAAAGCACGTCAATTTTTTTAATCGGTGAGATGAATAACAAAATCAAAAAATAAAACCAGTCATGATTTGTAACCTAACAGCATATTGTATATTCAAAAGAGATTCTCTGATTTGTTGAGAGATATGATGAAACACTACATCTTCTTTATGATTAGCTCGACAAGAATTTGAAATTTGACTCCAGCTATTTTGAACTAATGATCCGATATCTTTAATAATTTCCGAATCAGGACTTTCATAAGTTTTCACAAAAGTAAGTTCAAATATTGCCCATGAAATTAACAATAAATCTGATTCCAATAATATTTTCATGAATTGGACGTCTCCACATAATTTGGTAAAAATACGTAATACTGAAACCACACTATCGTAAGAAATTACAGTATCTCCAGTGATAGAATAGTAAGAATGTGCAAAAGTATCAATTCCTTTAGAAAAATGATTCAAAATATCTAACTTGGTCTTTTGAGACAATAGGGAAACTTGAGGAAATAATTAATAAGTGGTTAGTAATGACACAGTAGAATTTAGAAGTCAGTTCCGCTAAAAAAAATTTAACGTATACCGTCAGATAAAAACGTGAGTTCCAAAACATCTTCAATCAACTTTCTAATATTTGCATTAATTTTATCGTTAAATAATTCATTGGTGATAAAAATCAAAAATTCATCGAAAGGATCGTTGATTAATGGGCCCAAGATCTTAAGTTCAGAAACCTAATCAAAGAATCATTAATTTTGACTTCAAAAATTTAAGAATCTGCATAAATCTTACAAGTAACTAACTCACTTTAATTATTGAAAGACGAATGCATTCAAGTTTTTTCTCTAAATCATTGAATTCCAATAAAATTCGCATGAAATTATGCCAACTTTCATTAGCTTGTGGATCTTGTGCGTAAAATAAATATACCGAATAGGATTCAATTAAGTAATCAAGTGCACTTATTGAACAAGTTGCAACAATATCATTAAATGTGGTTTCGATAAATTTGTCTAACGACTATTAATTATTATTATAACATAAATTGTCAACATAATAAACAAATTATTGCTAATAAGTCACATGCGAAAATAAATAAATATATACCTGTTTTGTGGTAGAGTTCTTAAAAATAATGTCGGACATATTCTTTATAAAATTTAATAACAAAAGATCTAAGCCTAAAGAACAACCTTCAATTCAAATAATGAAAGGTAGTAGAATATAAAATCAATAATCGGCTGAATATAAATTAAGGTATATATTAAAAATCATACCATTATTTTCTTTACATTTATCTATTACCAAACAGAAAATGTGAACCACAAGTGTTTCAAACTAAAAATCAATATTAAAAGTTAAATCGAATTCTAATTTGATAAGCTCGAAAAATAAGTTAATGCTATAAATACACAAACCATAGCGAAAAGTTCACCAACTTTTTGTCGAATCTCCGGGGTTAACATCAATGAGCTAAGAAAATGTGAAAATCTTCGAGAGAATTCCATGTAATCATTCTCGACATTAGGACCGGGATTAGGAACAGTTCCATGGGCTATAACGCGTACACAAAGATCTTCAAGCTTTTTAAATAAAATTTTTAAAGGTTCTATAGAAAATATATATTAAAAGAGTGAAAACCAAAAATAAAAATAAAAATAAAAATAAAATAGTTGAAGTCATTAACAAACCTGTTTCTTTTAACTTAGAAAATAATGAAGAGATATTTGTTGATAAAATAGAACACATCTGCCCAGACTGAAATTTGGCATTAGACTAAAGACATAAAATCGAATCATTAAATATTAAATCGCACAATTAATTAAGCATTTAAATAATTTTTTTCGTCAACCTCAGATTCCAGCAAATAATTCTCAATTAATCCAAAAAATACTTTTTCAACAAGATAAATAAGTTTGTCCCTCTCACTTTCATGCTTTCTAGATATGGTAAAAACATCAATGGAAATATTCCAGGAAGAACTTTATACGTGAAAAAATTAATAATAAAAAAGATACTTGCTCTAGTTTAATTATATAGTACATTAAGCATTCACTATATGCTTCTAGAAATACACCAGAATTAAATCGATCAATTACGGGACTTGATAGGCCTTTCCAAAAATTCGAAAAAAATACTTCATAAAATTTTTGATCAGAATTAATTAGCTAAAAATTTAAAAGTATAATAATTAGTCTAAAATATCAACTAGTATAGTTCATTTATGTTTTGAGACATTTAATCGAATTCATGATATTCTCTTCGAAGAAAAAATGATGTAACCAACCTCTTGAGGAAGATGAACAATCAATGGTAATATACTTGGATATGAAACGTTAATTGATCCATAAGCACCAGATCGGAGAAAGTTATATAATTTTGGTAACATTGGTTTTTTTTTACTAGCTGTTAACCACGACTGAGGAAATCCTATAGGTAAATATTATACAATCATCATGTTGTAAATAAGTAATATATATATATATATGTATCATATAAATTTTAAAAGAACTTACTTCTAGTAAATATGAGGAGAGAATCCCATAAATCTTGGTGGACACTCGTATCCTTATCGTTAAAAACTCTCATCAGGTAAGTATTACTAAACATATCTAATCGTTCTTCAACTTCGGCTATTATAAAATATAGATCCAAAGTCAATAAACCAAAAAAAAAAAAAATTATAATAAATTGAATTTTATTCTCTTACATGGCCATTTATTTACCAAAACCTTTATTAGATTATAGCAAGATTTCCGAACGAGTGAATTATCATTAGATAAATTTCCCCAAAACTTGCTATTATCGAATAAATTATCATAATTTTTTGCCAATGCGCTTTCTTCCAATTGATTTATAATATGAGCGAGAGCGTAATATGAACTTGCAACAACTCTATGATATTTAGAGTTCATGTCTTCTTTTGACGTGAATCGAGGGTCACCTGATATTAAACAAAATTAAAGTTTCGGTTCTTTTACATCAATCATTTAGAATAATAATTCTCGTTCGATTAAATATCTCTGATATGTTTCTTGAAATAAGGTTTAAAAAGAAACTCACTTAAAGTGTCGGGAGTTTTAAATAAAATTATCTCTGTAATATAAGATAATATTTTTTCTTGCCCAAACATCAACACCTCAACTCGTTTATCGGATGGAAAAGCTGCCTAAAACATCCAGTTCAAATGAAATTAATACATAATTTTTTTTGTATTCCAAATTAATAACGAGAAAAAATTCCAAAGATTAACCTGAAAAGCATCATTGGCTATCTTTGCAACATCTTTACTTTGATCAAATAAAGAAATTATCCAAACAGCAATAATTTCTTTAAGGTAAGGTGCAATCTTTTTTTTTATTTTTGTTACAATAATAAAATGACAGGAATGTGTAGCATGTCTAACCCTACGATCCACATCAATCCCCAATTTAACGAACCATGTCGTCTAAAAATTAATATCAAATATTAACTTCATCAAATAATATTTTAATCGAAATCACTTCATACAAGTAAAGATCCTCTAGATATTTACCCATATATCCATCATTCCTACTAATTCATCCGCATTCCTCCCTTCAATTTTTAGGTATTCCTCAAATTCTTCTAAAGCCTTTAATTTAGTAGTAGGATCACGTTTAGATAACCTTTTAAATATAAGGACCAGCTCAGGATCTATAGTTCCACTACTAATAGCACTGTCTGGGAATATACGATCATTTGTTGCTGCGCTTGAAAATGCTTTCCCACCTAAGAACTGTGCGAACCCTCCTAGGTTTCCAATTGGTGACTGACCACTCGTTGCAATGATTTCTGCAGCTCGACTATATATAAATAAGCAAAATTAAACTAATTGATTTTAATATCTTTTCTATAATAGATATAAGGTACGCGCGATTTCGAACCTGCTACTTGCTGGTTGAACATTTCCTTTAACTCGAGGTTTCTTTGACTTTCCCATTTTCAATAAATAATCGTTAGAATTTCTTTTTAGACGACAGATCTAAACCAGAAAAAAATTATTCAGCCAAAAAGTCAGATCAGATGACTATAAAAAATGTCACTTAATCTGGTTGCAAATCTTGAAATATTTAATTTAATTCCATTTTTCCAAAATAAAAAAAAATTTTTTTTTGAAAATTGGGAAATTATGAAAATAATTGACAAAATAAATAGTCATGAACCCTCTAAAGCTTTTTACTCTTTTGAATACTTTCCTCCTAAAACAGACGAAGTGGGTGTTAATATATTACTTCTATTTATTTATCGTAATATACATTAAAGTTTTTTTTATACATTAGGGTTTAACCAACCTTTATGATAGACTTAAACGTATGTCTTTCTTGAACCCTCTCTTTGCGTCGTTCACGTGGGGCGCGGGTGGGAGTACTATAGACAGAACAACAGACATGTGTGCAACAGCTCAGACCCTTTATGGGTTTGAAAGTTGTATGCACTTAACTTGTACAAACGTTGTGAGAACAACAATAGAAAAGGCTTTGGAGGTTAGTTTTATTTCTCACATATCGGAGAAAGATCTTATTGAATAAATTCTACCATGCATTGATATTCATTTTACAATATAATCATAAATTCAATTCAATTCAATTCTATTATTAATCAGGAAGCCAAAAGTGCGGGTATTCAGAATATTTTAGCCTTGCGTGGTGGTAAGTTGTTCCGTATTTAGTAATTATGGTTCGTTTTGTTTAATCGAGGTTTATAATAGATTATTATACACGCGTCTTTAATAGATCCACCAAGAGGTCAAGAATATTGGACGTCATGTGATGACGAGTTTACACATGCGATTGATTTAGTGAGATTTATTAGAAAAGAGTACGGAGATTATTTTTGTATTGGAGTTGCAGGTGCGTCTACAATTTTTATGCCCGAAATTATTTAATTTATTCACGTGTAAGCTTCTTTTTTTTTTTATTTAAGGTTATCCTGAAGGATATCCGGATTCTGACGATAAGAATCAAGATTTGAAGTATTTAAAAGAAAAAGTAGACGCTGGTGCAGAATTTGTTATTACACAATTATTTTATAATGTAGATACATTTGTGGAATGGGAAAAAGAATGTCGAAAAATTGGTAGATGTTATATACATATTTTTAAACAAATTATTTTTATTAAATTAATTTTTAAATAATTATAACAGGCATCAAGGTACCTATTATCCCAGGTATTATGCCAATTCAGGGTTATCATAGTTTTCGAAGAATAACGAACCTTTGTAAGATAAATATACCTTCGGAGATATTAGATGCTCTAGAACCAATCAAAGTATGACATATATATAAAATTTTCTACGATGAATATTATGATTAACAAGAATTATGGTTTTAGCACGATGATCAAGCAGTTAAAGACTATGGTGTTTCACTCGCAGTTTCTATTATATCTAAATTATTCAATGAACACAATGTAAGAGGTTTTCATCTATGTACTATGAATTTGGAGAAATCTGTACGGTTGGTTTTGGAGAAATTAAAATTTGTACCAACAGAAGAGGAAAGAAATTTACGACGTCGTAGTAGACGGCGTTCAAGCGTTGGTTTTGTGTCCAATGATATCATCAGACAGGTATGGTTGGATAAGAATTTACAATACGTTTCAAAGAAATTTTTGTATTTATCTTTTTGTTTCTTGATTAATAGGAGCCTGATGGATCACTTCCAACTGTAAAGCCAGTAATATGGAAGGAACAAAGCGAAGATTATTTGGGTAGATCGGAAGATTGGGATAATTTTCCAAATGGACGTTGGGGAGATGCAAGGTCTCCTGGTATGCCTTAATTTTACAATAAACAATTCGAGCTTTATCATCATTTTAACTTTATAAAATTATCCTCCATAAAGCTTTCGGGGAATTGGATGGATATGGTGTGTCTCTAAGAATACCGGTAAGTTAATATTAATGATGATAAGTTTTTTTTTTTAATAAATTTTAAAGCATAAAAAATATTTTCATTTAGCCTGAACAAGCTTTAGAGTATTGGCAAAGACCAACAACATTAGATGAGTTGAAACAAGTTTTTAAGTCCTACATCCTTGGTGATATTCCCGCATTACCATGGTATGGGGAACCACTTTTTGCAGAAACCGAAGCAATTCGGTCAAAACTTGTTCGTCTTAATGAACTCGGGTACTTAACAGTTAGTTCACAACCAGCTGTTAATGGGGCAAAAAGCGAAGACCCTATTTACGGCTGGGGTCCAAAAAGCGGCTATGTGTATCAAAAAGCATTTGTTGAATTTTTTGTTAGTCTAGAAAATTTGGAGAAATTAATTAAAAAGATAACAGGTAATCCTTGGATTACTTATTATGCTTTAAATAGAAATGTAAGTATAAAACAATTCATATTCGTTTAAAATTAGTAGATTTAAAGATAAATTATATTTGATCACTTGTAGGGGGATTTTAAAACTAATATAAAAGAGGAAGCGCCATCCGCTGTTACTTGGGGGGTTTTTCCCGGTAAAGAAATCGTGCAACCAACGATTATCGAGCAAGTTTCATTTAAAGCTTGGAAAGTATGTATAAAAAGGATTTCTTTAAAGTTTCCCTATTCAATAATTACATTTTGCTAACATTATGAAATATTTAAGGACGAAGCGTATGCTTTATGGACAGAATGGGAACATTTATATCCAAAGAATTCACCTACACAAAAGTTATTAAATGATATTGGAAATAATTGGTGGTTAATTAATCTTGTTCATCACAATTATGTTGATCCTGAAGGAATTTGGGATATATTTTTTAATGATGATGTAAATAATAAATAAATAATTATAATGAATGATATTGATAACCTTTTTATTTATAAATAAAGAATGAGATAAAAAAAAAAAAAAAAATTATAATTTTAGTAATGAGGAAAAATACAACAAAACACATCAAAAAAAAATTTTATCAATCCTAGATTCTTTTTCTTAATAGTTATTGTCCGTTATATTTGTCTCGATTAGGGTCGTAAACAAGTTGATTCTCTAATCCCGCTACAGTACTATATACATATATATATATATTAAAAAAAAAATTTTTTTTTTAATATGAGTATCAAAAAATATATATATTTACATAAAAAAAAAAAAATTTAAAATAATAAAAAAGTAAATTTTACGAATGGTAGGTAACTAAAGTAAAATTATCTTATCATTCACGTTACACTCGAAATCAGGATTTCTAAAGATTTAGATTAGGATAATCAAATGTAATCAGATAATCAAATTTTTTTTTAATATAAAATGAGACCAGATAAATTCAAATATTTCGAGAAAATATATTTTTTTCTTTATATATAATTATTTCATTCATAGATATTTATTTTTTGTATCATGAAAAAAATCTGTTCAATCGAATTTAATGTTTCTTATTTAACAAGGTTTTAAAAGTCAAAAAAAATTTATTTTTTATATATATTTATTTTCTTCTTTAAAAAAAAAAAATTCTAATTTCATCTAGTTCATAAAAAAAAAAAAAGA